CAATTGCGCGGTACATTGTAAATACACATGTTTAAGCTACTTGCAATCTGCTAATTAAATTTTGGAGTTTAATTATAGCTTCTTGAGCTTGAAGACCAGAATTGGTTTTTCTCACCTATATATGAAATTCCTTATAAGGTATTTTTTTCGAAACTTTTGGCAACGTCTCAAGAAATCGAACTTCAAGATCTGACTTTGTAAACTTCAAATTATGTTTCTTCCGATCCGAAAAAGGCTTAGTTTTACTTGACTGTTGTTATTGTTATTGTTGTGACTTCCTTAACACGCAACATCTTTTTTTATATAAGGAAAGATGGATTATAAGTTGTCTCACGGCTTCAATCTTGAAAAAAGTGGCACACTTCGCGAAGATATAGCTCATCTAGGTGCTGTCATAAGTTGCAAGGTCAAATTGCTCTTTAACTCCAAACTTAGCTTTTCCGACAAAATAACGTATGTTTGTAGTAAAAACAAGATAAAGACGGTGTTTTTTATTTGGGTTTGAAAGATTTGTCTCTTGTAGCCTCACGTGCCTGACAAGGAAGTTGGCAGCTTAGGAAGGAAAAGATCTCGGGAAAATTCTGGAAAGTCTAATCAAAATCTGCGTTGTGCCAGGAGATATACTAAATTAGATGCCGTGACTTATTTCAGTGAAATCGAGAAGAGAAGGATTCAGAAGTAACCCAAAAAAAAAGAAAAGAAAGAGAAAGAAAAAACTTTGGAAAGGCATCTGAAAGCTGAGCTCGTGAAGTATGTGAGTTACGTCATGGTATTTTACTTTTTGAATAACTGGATCTTAAAAGCAGCTGACGAATCTTAAGACTGAAAACGAGAACATCATACGTAACAAAATCGTTTCCCCTTGAAGTGCAACAGTGTACGTTTTCCATCTTTGCGAATTCATTATTTGGTCACAGTGAAATGGTCAGCCCTGTATGTCCTGTCTAAGGTGACAATTGTTCAACTTTCCAGGTTTTAATCTTGACGGACTTTGTTTTAACATGAAAGCAAATCACCATTGCCTCGCAAAATGATATCATGTTTGGTATGTTACAAGCTAATTTCGCTTTTCAAAGACACTTCACGCATGACAGAGATGTGATTGGCTTTTCCACTTCTTGAAGTAGCGAACTCAGCTGCAACAGGCAAGCATTCTTGTTGACGTTTTGTTGTGGCAGTGTCATTCCTCGATCTCTGGAAGATAGGAAAGACCCCTCGCTACCTCGCACAATTTGTGGAAAGCTGTATGGCGAATTAGTCTCATTCAAAAACAAAAAAAATCCGCAGACGAATCTAAATGTATCTTTTGTAATGAACTGTTTTTGACAATGCATTAGTAAGTTATTTATTTCTCTATTTGATATGTTTACTCTTTTTGAATTTCAAACTATATGTACTTTTTTGGTTTTGTTTCGGTTATTTTTTTCCGTGAAGACCGCGGCTTGCAGACTATCGCGAGATAGTAAGTGCTACCCTCGAAAACTGTTTATTATTATTATTATTATTATTATTATTATTATTATTATTATTATTATAATTATAATTATTATTATTATCATTATTATAGACATAATTATTATAAACAAACTCGAAAGCTAAAGCTAAAAATCAAATCCACGCCTTCTCGCGCCCTCTCCAATTTAAGGTCAAGGGATCGCGTGATTCCGTGTTTTTTCATACCATTTATCTACTTGAAAAAGGTATAGTTTAATTAAATTTACCTGCGTATAATTGACAACAACAATTAGTAATTTTTAATACGCTTTCCGCAATAATTAAAATTGTTGACAGCCTATCTGTCGAGGGAGGAGTGAGTTTCATGCACTTGAGCTGTAATGGCAGTTTAAACCAAGTTTTTAAATGTTATTTTGGTAAAATGCTATACTTTCTCGTTGTCGACAATTGAAGCATCTCCTTGATTCAGGTAATCTGGTATTTGAGATGATATGAGAGGTATCATTTTTTTTTTCATGAAAGTTCTATACGAGTTTCTAATTTTAGTTTAATCTTGTGAGTCTCTTTATTATGCAAAGATTCTACTACAATGTTTCCGCCCGTAGAAACCCCTGGGATCCAGCCCCTCTTATTTAAGGGGTGGAGGTGGATTTAGAAAGTTACTCCACCGGTTCCGCAGAAATCAAAAGTCTTGAATAGGACAAAACAGTTTCCATGGCTACTCACGGTTTGCCCAAAATCGATATGGCTCTACTCATGCGCAAGGTACTGATTGATGGTTCCCAATGTTATTATGGCTGGTCGAGAATTTGTCTAAAGATTTCATCTCTTTTGCTATTTTCTTACATATCGAAAGGCGTAGTCAGACTTTTTTCTTCAATTTGAAAATCTCTCGTCTCACTGCATTGTAAAAGCAGTTCGTCACGTTAATCCCCGGATCGTACGTAGGAAAAAAAGCGTAGCCCCGCCTTGGTACAAATTATTTCCCCCCTTTTTTTCTGGGTAATGAGATTTTGCAAAAATTTAAACGCCTTTTGACGAGCTCTTCAAGATGATTTGTTTGTTCTGCTAGGGACCTGTGACGTCATCGTCGCCATCCTGTCCGCCGTCTTGGATTAAAGAATTACAAAGTATCGTCCCTGACTTCATGCCATGCGTGTGTATTCTATTTGAGAAGTTACCAGGATAACAAATTTTTCAAAAATGCAGTAATTAATTTTATAAACGTCTTTTAAACTGGTTGTATGATTTTTGTCTCATATCATGGAAATCCAAGATGGCGGCTCCAAGAAGTCAAGACAATGATTAATGTAATGTAATGTAATGCTCCGGATAAGAGAACAAAAATCCGTGTCGTCTTTACATTATTAAAAAGAACGACAACAAAATAAAATGTTAGGAGACAGAACTATCTTGCGCTGTAGCTGAACATAAAACTTCATTAACAGACCCAATTAAAAGATACTGCCAGTCGGTCCGTGTGGCACTGGAATGAGGCATGATCGATCAAGTTTTTTTTGGCACATGTCTTTTTTAGCAATTTGAATAATGTGTATCATTGTGAAGCCACCATTCATTAAGACAATAGCTAACAAATTTAGAAAAACTCTTGTTGGGTTTCTTTCATCTCCTACCAGTGTGGCACATGTCTTGGTATTTTTTAAATTGCAATTCTTGGTACCAAGAAATCTTGAGGAAGCAAATTTCAAGTTTAGTTTTAAATTACAAAATCGTTTTTGCTGTGGTGTTGCAATTGTGGAAGTGAGTGTTTTGATGAAAAGGCGACATTCTGAACTTTTATCAGTTCAGTCTATCACTCAAAGATCAATGTCATCAGTCCAAGTAGCTGAAGTAGCTGTAAGCTGAGTCAGGATATAACAGTGTGGTCTTGGAGTAAAGATCAATTATCGAAATTCAAGGGGAAAAAATCTTGATGATAAAATTACTCTTTCTGAACAGAAATTGGGAAGTGAAAAACAATTAGAATTTAAACTTAAGAGGTTAAACTTGATTGGTAATGTAACACTATAAGATTCCAGCAACCGACAGACTCGGTACGGATGAAACTGCATTTGTTCGCGTCCTCGAGCATTTAATCGACCTTCAACGTCTTGGTGATATTTTTGTGAGTATTTTCCACAGCACAGCAAACGTCACCGGCGATCCGTCCAGTAATCCGCACTTACACCATCTGGATTTACTTAGTTTTGTCTGCATGAAAAATGTCGATACAATACGCTGTCATTCTACCCAAATACTGATAGTACCCAATCAGAATGAAGAATCGAACTATCGCAAGACTGAAAAATTATGGAGTAGAGCCAAGTAGTCGACAGGTGATTATGTGGGGTATCTCCAACGATAAAAAAAAAGTACCTTTCTTGGAATATTGCGGAACCCAGAACATATTTGTTGCTAGTTTTTTTTTAATTGGTTGATCAGACATTCGGATCATTTTGTTCATTTGCACAAGTTAGAATCGCGTCGTAAACGTCGTGTAGAAAAGAAAGAACTGTTGGTCAGCAGTCTTTTAAAAAGTGAATGGTATTTTCTCATTCGCGGAAAATAAACTTCTGTTGTCCTAGGGGACTTGATTGCAACTTTAACTTATACAATGATCTGCGAGGAAATACGATAAGATAGTATAGTCTCCATCACTACAGAATCCAAATGGGCAATAAACACCTTGGATAGCTTAGCATACTAAAGACCTCCTTCAAAGACGACCAGAAGAAATCATTTTTGAATGTCATACATTACTTCTGGCACGTTTTCAAGTTCACCATTTAAAAAAAAAAACTGTTGAAAAAAAGTAACAGCATTATAAATGGCTTTACGCTCAGGGAGAACATTCCTAAGATGTAACTTCATATGCTGATCAGGTTAATATACTCTGCGACTCAGGATGAAGTCCTTGAAAATTCAACAGTGAAGAATTTAGGTTGGAAAAGCTGAAGTTTAGCATTAACTGTCATCAATAGTTTAAAACTAATTCTTAACACCACACCCTTTGGAAGCTAGACTTATTAGTTAAGTTATTTTACGTATAAATAGTTTTAAAAAACGATTACGATCCCGTTGACGACAAGGAACTCTCAAGATTGGCGTAATCTGCAAAAATTCCATCCCAGATGAGGATCTCTCCCAGGAGGTATAAAGAAAGTGATCTCGTTATGGTATTTTAATGACTCTAGTACATTCTTTAGACAAAATTATAGCCTGCGTAGCAGGCGCTTGGAAGTAGTGTGCACAAGAAAAAACGGGCGCGCGAGAAGGGGCTCCCTCACCTCTCGCGTGTCTCCCTCGCGCGCGCCCGTTCTCTCTTTCGCCCACTACTTCCGAGCGCCTGCTACGCAGGCTAACAAAATTAATTGTTTCTACTACTACCCGTAGAAGGTTTGTAATTTTCACATGTAGGTATTTCAAATTAAGCTGAAATACCACTGCTCTAAACCAATCAAATTGCAGAAATTTCTCATGTAGTAGTATAAGAACAATAATATGACCGAGAATGCTACACTACATGACTTGGAACTAGGAAGTCTAAAATTTTCCGCCTTTTGAAGCTCTTTCCAACCTTAAAGTCAAATGGAGCCTTGCAATTTGAGGGTAGTTCCTAGGTTTTGCGCCTAGGTGCAATCGCCAAATGTGATGTAATATATTGAAAAAGGCGCTAAACAATGACCAAAACAATAGCTTACCAACAATGGTTTAAGCAACATCAAGAAACGGCCGTTTAAGGAATGCTAAGTAAGAAATCATGCCTTTTTTTCAAGTGAACTTTTTTAGCAGTTTTTTTACAAGGTCGGGAAGGTCACAGATGGCTGTTCCATTATTATTTTTTTTATTTCCTCGCCTAATTGAATTTTCTTAGCAAATGGTTTATTAACGCATCAATTTGATGAATCAGAGAAGGCACTTATAGCGAAGAGTATAATAATTGTCTGGAATTGTTATCCGTCAAGTGCCAACATTACGGAATAAAGACCTTTTATAAACGGCTCGTACAGCAAAAATTTGTTTCATACCGCAATGGTAGACCTCAAACCCCATCACTGAAGTCAAGATTCGGGAGTGGAATTTCGGTTTTTATCAGTTTTCCATCAATTCACACTTTTGCAACGACAGCAAAAAGTTAATGAATTCCAAAATTGCTTAAAGTAATTGGTCCAATTGCAAATAATTTTAGTGCTCTCCAGACTGCTCCTCTATTGGCGATCGATCATA